ACAGGATCAAGAAACAGACTACCAGTCCTTTATAAGATGGCGGTGGTGATGATGATAATGATGATGATAGTGAGGACAATACACATATGGTTTTAAATACATGCACGATAATCCTACTAAGACACACACATTTACAAGCACTCAGTTATGCTTTCAGACAAATCTGCATTAACAACATTATGTGGTACTATTATTATTATCTATAAGCTGTGTAAACTAAACATGAGGGAACGTACCACACAAACACAAGATGTGCAATTGTCCAGAACGTGTCTCTCCCCGCTGGCGAACACTCGCTTCGCAAAAAAGCAAGACCTTGGAGTGTCGAACACCATTCTCTGACCTACAGATTGGCATTAGTATCTCAGTAAGTTATATCGACTGACAATATAGTACGTATCTCTGATATTCACTCTCTGTACTGGAATCTGTCATAGCAGCATGGCCACATCACAGCACTGACATTTATTGTGCTGTCATTTTGTCAATTAGTAGTTATAACCCACACAAATATGCTTCTTTTCTTTACACACATTTGCCTGATGCTACTTTCGACAGACCATAACCTACACTGCATAGTGTAGGTTTGTAGATGTTAGTTGGCAAACACGAAGGGCATCATACCTTGGTAGAAATATTGAAATTATGTCTCGTCCGACTAAAACAAGCTGTTTTGTTCTTAAACGTTCACACTCTGTGGGAAGTGAGTCAACCCTGATTTATCTTGCAAGAGGTCTAACCTGAAGTCATAACACGAATTAGTTTTATACTTCTGCTTCATGCAATAACAATATTTTTTGCGATGCTTGTTGTCAGAGAATTTATGCATTTGTGTGTGTGTGTGTGTGTGTGTGTGTGTGTGTGTATATACACGCACACACACACACACAATATAATATAAATATGTATATATTATATATATATATATATATATATATATATATATAATACATTATAATATATATTATACAACACATATATTTCACATTTTTGTGGCTATTTCCTTACTTGGTAACTCCTTTGAATTGTTTCTTTGGTATAATATTACTTTTTCTTGCATCAGTATTGTCCGTGAATTTTTGTTTTTACTTCTAGCATTTAGTTCCTAATTTGCAACAACTAATGAAACCCCCCCCCCCCCCCCCCCCCCTCCTCCACTCCCCCATCCAAGCCTAGCGAGAGTGTGGGAAATCACCATAAACAAACCAGAAGTAAAAAAAATGTTTCTTTTTTAAACAGACCAAAACACAAGATATCTGAGAAAGACATAGGTACAAATTAGTAAACATGTTAAAATCATATCAAGGGAAAAAGAAAAACTAAAAAACTGGTAGGATTCAAGTGGCAGGTAAAAGGGAAGAGGAGGGGGGAGGGGGATGGGGAGAGAGAGAGAGAGAGAGAGAGAGAGAGAGAGCGACAGAGACAGAGAGGGAGAGAGAGATAGAAGAGAAAAGATCACATAGAATTCTTCACAGTTTGGGAAACATGTCATAATATTTAATTAGAAAGCTTACTATGGTTGAGCTAGAATGGAAACAATGTAGTCGGGACAATACTAGAGAACATTCAAGTGGATATAGTAAATGTACTTACCTTTACATTTGGGACATTTGTCAGTGCCATCGAAGTAGATCTTCTCCTCAGGACAGTTGAGCACTGGACACAGACGCTTACTGCATGTGGTGTTGCCTTGCTGTAGATACAATATTGCCTCAGTTATTATTGGTGATTGCAGTAGCTGTCGATAGAATAAACATAATGGTCTCCCTCTAGGTAACGTCTTCTGGCATGTATAGCTGGTGAGTTCTTGCACGCTTGTCGTCACCTTCACCTTCCGGTTTTATCATAACTTGTGAATGCTGTAATGGTGAGATCCCACTCACACTATTGGTAGCCGAGCCCATGATAGTCACACTTGTATAACCTCCATACTCGTGTAAATACTTGTAAAATGTATGCGATATTCGTAATATTTAACATTACATTGTCAATAGTTTTATCTTATCAGGTGATCTGTGTATTTGTTCCTTAATTTCCTTGGAATATGACCTGTTCTTCTGTAAGTTCACATTCAGAAAACTAGAATGTGACTTTCTAGCTTCCTGCTCATCTTCAAACAGAGGCGCTTGCATAAAAGGTGTACACAGACAAAACAGTTGAGAATATTCTCAATTATGTCGATGTTAGCTGGAAACCACTGATGCTAGCACATCATTATCGTCATTATATCCATTATCGTTAATATCGTCATTATTTTTGTCATTTTAAGGACGGCGATCCTCGCTCCTGCTTTTTGTAGAAAAATTCACAACTGATATTTGTATGTAAACAATTTGCACTCTGGTAACAGATTAAAACTGTGAGCTCGAACGCTCTCGCCCCCCCCCACCCCCCCCCCTTTTTTTTCTCTATAAATACATATATTTTTAAAACAGTTTTGTGATGTCATTTCCAGTTCTGAAAATAACTGACGACTGCCAAGTGCCCATGCAGAGCTAGAGAAGAAATTCAAGGAATAAATGCTCCCGGTTAGCGTGACTGCATGCAGTAACAAACACCCTGCTACTACTCTGTGGGCGATGAGCTTTTTTTTGTGTGGTAAAGTGGACGCGGTGAAGCCTCACTGGGAACAAGTACAAAATGCAATCTAACAGACAAAATATCAAGAGAGATTGTTTTAGTTGGCAGTAAGCCTCTAGATAGTCTGGAAGATGTTCTTCCCGCAGGCGCAAATGGGTAAACTTTTGATGAGGTTGCAACTGGTTCCATCCGTTTTAGAAATGTTCGCTGGCTACCGAGGAAGGGGGTAGAGCACGGGTGGGAATGTCCCGAGTACAGTGATGTCACTTCATTCAATTATTCATTCAATCATTTATTAATTCATTCATCCACCCATTCATCAATCCATCCATCCATCCATCCATCCATTCATTCATTCTGCCTTGTACAAGCGATAACAGTAGGTCATGATTGAAGTTTCCAGAATTAAATAGTTGTTACCTTACAGACACACTGAATACCGGGGTTCTGCTTCAGACTGAACACCTCACTATCCAGGTATTCTATGCCATCATGGTAACAGCCTGGGGAGCGGAGAAGTCCAAGTAGGAATCAGTGTGACAGGTATATCATCGACTAACGCAGTCATTAGGGTAAATGAGAAAATTTCATTTTAACAAATATATGACCGTTCTCTAAAATAAAACTGATCAGTTGTAACTGAAAACTTAACTTGATTCTAACAGAAAACATACCGAAACAAAACAAACAGCTTAGTTCTTGCAGAAGACTTCTAATAGCAACAATTAAGTTCAGGCCTTTATTGGCAATTTTACTAAGGTGTATGATGATGATGTAGTACAAGTCTTGTTCAGTGTTACGTCAAACCAGTTAACAGATACCTGACACACTAGTCGTCCCCAAGTGGGATCAATTTTTCGTTATTAGAAGCCCCCTCTTGGCTTTTGCAGGGGGCCCTAAATATAGCCGGGCCTTAAATATGGCCTAAGGGCTAAAAGGGGTTTCTGGGACCTCTCCACGGGTGATCTTCATCTGAATGGTGGCACTTTGTGTCACCGGGTGTTTATCGCTTGTGTGATTGACTGGTGGGGCACAAAAAGGGAAAGAACAGATACATTCCGTTGTGAGATACATTTACTATACTCAATACGGTCTCTGTTTAACCCCACCCCTCCCCACCCTCGATTCTGACTGAAATAATCATGCACCCAAGTCAATGGCTCCTCGGTGTGCACAAGTGGGACAATCACCCGCACCCAAGAGACTGGTGACACATCCATGGAGACATAAACAAGCTCCGATTCCTACCGAAGTTGAGCCAAGATATGTATCTACTAAAATAGCGCAACTGAATACACACGGATTGTGTAGTTTCAATGAGATAAACTATATAGCAAGATGGTTAAATGATTTGGGATACAATTGTTTCATCTTATCCATATGTCAACAATTACGTTCCCGTGGAGTGTCTAGGAATGACATTGCGAAATACAGTGTTAGTTTACACTTTGTTAAAATGTGTAATTCTATGACTTGGTTCTGTAGTATATTGAAGTAAATAGTATTTAGCTTCAAGCATGACCGGGGCCATCAGAATATATACGATGTCACAGAGTAAATCCAACATTACAAACATTGGAGTGAGTCTAAATGACGAACATAACGACACCCTTTTTCAGAATATACTTGGAAGGAACATTCGTGACAAATAATAAATCTATTTAATAGAATACAAATGCAGTACATAGCTGCCGGTTCAAAGCAAAGGCAACTAACCTGGGCCAGCTGGGACAGCAAGACCGGGCCACACGGGCGACTCTCACAAGGAGGGCCTGAACAACCTCTCTACTGCTGGTCAAACGTACGGATGAAATGAGAAAGGGAATCTCAGGCGTTTTTGGTGTGATCTTGTTTGTTGTAGCAATGGCACAAGTAATAAAGGCCAGTGCTGTTGATTTAGTTGGAATAAAGCTGTAGATGTGGACTATTCAGAGGGCAAGTTCACAGTAGTGCCCCCCTTGTTTTTTTTTTTTGTTTCATCTTAGGGAAAGTCAATCGCAGTAGGACTATTATTACCGCATCGAAAAAAAAAATCCATGAAATTGTGCTAAAATTTTAATTTGCTAAAGTGCTGCCAGTGCCCTTTGTAATACTGCTAAAGAAGTTTACCTAGAGCACTCTGTATAAGGTTTACAGCTTTAAAAGGGATGAAACCCGAACACGCTAGGGCCAGAAACAATTTTGTAAAATGTTTCATGGAAAAATTCTGCTGAACAACAATTTTATTTTTCAGAGGTAAATTTAACACGTTTTAAGCTTTGATCAAACCTACTAACGTAATTTTCCAAAACACTCGCTTAAAAAAAAAATTAGCAATCGGTAATTTAAAATTTTAAAATAATAAATTATATTTTTTTTGTAAATTCTACGTATGTACGGCAAATTTTGGATCGTCCCCAATGCATCGGCCCCCCGGGGGT